CCTGTTGCTTCAAGGTGTGATTTTCCTTGCCGCTTAATTTTCTTTTACCAAACAACCTCCAAGAACTTGGTACACCCCCTGAAAATGTTAAAAAATTAATTTTCTCCTTAAAACCTCTGGAAATAGGAAAACGCCTTCGACCAAAACAGAGTTCCTTAGTATTAAAAGTCATCCCTTACTATTTTCTGCTAATATGGCTAAATTTTAGACCTAGGACACTCTAGCCCGCATTGTTAACTGCAACCCACTGACGTAGCATTTCATTATTCAGCTCTGTCCTCCATGTATGGATGACCAAAATTTTTTTGGTCAGTGGTGGTAGCTAAGGACATGAGATGATGTAATCAAAATGGCGGACAAAATCTGATTGGAGCAGCTGATCAGAGGAAACACTGGAAGTTTTGAAGCCTTGTGCCCAGGTCCCCACTCTAACTTATAAACAAAATGGCACCCACCATAGCACACGGGAGAATTATCATTCCTAGCAGCACTTTTTGAATATTCAGGCTTTTTCATGCTAATGTTTTATAGCATGAAATGCCACTTTGATGATGACCTCCTAAGTCGCACCAGGTATTTATTGTTTTTATCCTTTCTTAATCTAGTTTAAGGGGGGGTCTGGAAGGAGGGTCCACTTTTTGTACCATCCCATACCTCACTGTATGTCAGCTGTATGGTGCCTTGGTAATTAACTTGTTCACAATGTTAGATATATTGCACAGGGACGGATGTGTTGACAGTACACTATAATTATATTGTGTCTTCAATGGTATAACTATTTGTGTTCTGACTAGTTCTTGCTCCCCTTTTTGTATAGCATATGATGTACTGTGCATGTACTGTACACACTATTATTTGAAAAAACTCTAAATTTGAAAAATAAAAACCTGTATTGAGATTTTAGCCCAGATTGGTTATGTAAAGGGTGCTTAACTGGGAAATTATAGTCTAACAGTTTCTTTTAAAATTTTAGGTTCTGAATTATATGTCAAGGGTTTTTATTGTACTGTGTCAGTGGTGCTGAGGGCATCCTTAGTTAGCCAGGAATATGGCCCAGTTTTCTATGTATTTTGATATACAAGCAGTGACATTTAATTGATATGTGAAATAGTGATAACTCTGATAGAAATAATTGATTGTTTTAATCAATGACAATAAGAAATTATTCTTTTTAAAATCATGATGATAACAGTGACCAGGTTACCATAATTATAATAACAGTGACGACATTATGATCAGGGTTAATAAGTGGAGGACACATGCATTTGATTTAATTGTTGTCCATTAACTCCTAACTGTAATTCTTATAAAGGCTGATAGTTTCTAAAGAAAGTGTTTGGGGCTGCGTCGGTGGGGGTAATGAAATAATTTGAATATATGGAGTGAAGGGCTAACGCTCGAAACGTCAGCTTTTATAATCGTAACGGTGGCCAATTTACCATTTCAACTTTGTTCATATATTCAAATTATTTTATAATTCTTATAACTCTCTTAACCTCCCAGACCCATTAAACTATCTTTATCTTAAAACTTAATAATTACTATCATTTACCTCCCAGAACCAACTGAACGTCCAGATATACAGCCATGTCAGGCACAATGCAGCGAGACAAACTTTACTGTCACGTTAACATGGAAGGTAAAAATAATTAATATAATTAACATACATTCAAATAATTAGACCATCAAAAATTAATACTCAATGTAGAAATGTTCCAGCGGGGGGGGGGAATCTCCTAGTTCTCAATTTTCTTAAAGTGTTTGAAATGATTTGCCCTTATCACAAATTTTGTGCAGCTTGTAGTGATTATAACATAGATAAGCAAAAACACATCATTGGCAGTCCTTGCATGATCAGGGAAAATTAATGTGGATATATCTCACAATCCTTCAACCATTTTCACAATCACACCGCGTTGGTTAAATTTCAACCCTCAATCACTTCAGTGACCATGTAAGCCCAGATGAAGATGGGCAAATTATTAGGTGATAAACCCCATTTGATAACAAAAGTGAAATATTTCCCACTTGTCCGACACATTGAGAGTCTTCCTTTAAATTTAAAGTTTTATATGCAATTCAGATGAGTATTTTGCTTTAGTCAAAGCAGTCAAGAGACTGACTTGTTTGTTGAAATTCATTTTTGATAAAAAGATGTTGATTAACACTTTGTTTGTTGTTAACTGCAAAAGATGTAGTTTAAAGGATGATGAGACAGGCAATAGCATTCATTTCACTTGTTAATGTCCTTGGACAGTAAATGTCCTTGGACAGGAAATGTGCACTGAAGCTATGGCTCCCCACATACTGTTATCCTTGCAAGCTGTACTCATAGAACACTTTTCACTAATTGAAATAACAGTGTCTATGGACAGATATCCGCACATGATCAGTTGCAAGATCCAGGGGTACAAATGCGTAACATTAGGGAAAAACTAGCAACTTCATAAAATTACCAAAAAATCATCAAAACATAGATTATTCATAAACTTTTATTGTAAGAACTACTTTTTGAGAAAATATTTGATGTTATCTGTTAAATTATCCTCATTAATTAATACCCAGAATGCATAGCGGGCGTGGTCATATATTCTATTTACACATTTGCAGGCTTAAATTCACGATTCTGTTTAGAAATAACACAGTTTTATTTACATAACTAAAAAGAAGACATAATTTCCTCATGCTGGTTGGGTAAAAGCTGGAATAATACATTTCTACGCCTATTTAATTTCTTGAGTTCTCCACAGATAGTCCTGACAGTGTTTGCATACACAATAGCTTGTTTATTGTCAAGCTTGTAGGTCATGTCTATAATATTGTCCCTTAGGAAAAAGTTACCCTTGAAGACAAAGGAACCTTTCTGATAAGCAGCACTATAGTCATCAACTTCATCTTCACCCAAAATTATGGCACCACTGCTTGTAACTTTGAAGAGGTAGTAATCATATATGGCGTCATCAGCTGCTGCAATGGCGACAGTACTTCCTTCTTCAACAAGATCAGTGAGTGCATTGACTGTTTTACTGACATTGACTGAGTCTTGATTCTGCCTTGTGACTGCAACATCTCCTTCTCTTGACATCTCAACCTCTCTCCACTTATCAACATACTCCTCATTTTCACAGTCCATGTCAGTTAAACAACCAATGCACATACAGCTTCTTAGCCTTGTCCTCACCTTACATTGCTGAGAAGTTGTTTTTACAGAGTGGATTTTTCTAATCCCTTTTAGCTCTTTAAAAGTGCGGCCAATTCTGTTTCTGTCAACAGCTCCTTCTCCATTTAGTGGAATGTAGAAGTATACTCTCTTGTTTAAGGTGGTTTTGCTGTTGGTTGAAGATGGCAAAGAGAACTTGTCCTTCAGATACTCATAGAGCTCCTTTGCAGACTTGATGGATGCTTCTCTTCGAATCACAGCAAGAGTAGCACGTTGTTTGACATTAGCACCTGCTGCATCTTGCTCTCCTTTTGCATGAGAGGTTTCAAAGAAATGCCGGTCCACCTGACACCCAAAGTCAGACAAAGAACATGACAAATCACCAAAAGTGTGCTTAGATTTGTATTGTCCAGCACACCCATCAGTGAATTCATGAACTTTGTCTACTTTCACTTTGACCTCATTCCTAAGGTACGTCAGTATTAGGCCTTGGGTGTGGTGTACAAAATGGTAGTCTTGAGTGTTGTCTTCTGAAAGGGCAAAGATGTGCTCTTTGATGAGGACAGGGTCTTGTTCTGTACTTGCTTTGCCATCAATGTCAATATCAGCATGGGGATAGACAATTGACACATGAATGCTGACTTTCACAGGATCGAAATACTCTGATTGAATTTCATCTTGTGATCTGCAAGTGTAATTCTCAGAAAAATCATGCACACAGATGATATGGTTGAGAGGCAGGTTTGTCATTAAATGATCAAACTGTTCTTTTTGCCATTTGGCCTTAAATGAATGGTAGGGATAATCTTTCAGGAGTTGCTGGAAATAGTCAAACATCTCTTTGACAGGAGTTTCTTTTTGGACCAAGTGGATTTTCCTTTTTTCCTCGCCATTGTTATCTTTGTACGTTATGTATTCATATCGTTTCCACTTGACTTCAGTTTCAGACATTTCTTCAGCTGCTGTCTTGAAGTTCTTCACCCCACACTTGTCACAGCTCCTTGTCAGGCAGTCTAGAGAGGAATAGCTGGAGTCTTCTGGCTTTTCACACAATGTGGATTCCACAGCTTCAGTGAGAAAATTAAAGGCTTGAACTTCATTATTTTGTATGGATTTTCGATATTTCATGCAAGAATCAAATACAATTTTGCATTCTACATGCTTCCTACACAAGCAAGATTGTCTATCTCTCTCTCTAGCTCCAGTAACAAAGAAAGGCTTCAACTGCTCAAATCTTCGTTGTTTCACTTTTATGTCGGGATGTAGCTCCTGGAATTCTTTGAAACACTCTGTTTGAGTCTTTTCAAGGATATGCTTTGCGTGCTCCACATACTCCTTTTTGCCAATTCGTTGCCGCATCTTGTCTCTTTTGGATCCAGTGGGTCGACTTGCTTGTAGGGTCCAAAAATCGTAGATAACACGCTTATCTTCTTCTTTAATCGCGTCACACCTGACATTTCTTTTTGTGCTCAACCAGCAGGCCTCATCACCCTTCAAAACTCTTTCTCTATGTTTGATAGCTTTGGACACCTGGCTTCTTTTTACTCCCATCATCTTGGCAATCCGTGTTTGGTGCTTGTTTTTTTTGACAGAAGATCCAAAAGCCAAAGAGCGCGTACAGTTATAAGCTGCTCTTTCATCAGTCGACTTAGCTTTTTTGACTTTGGACAATCCTTCTGCCAAATCTTCTACCAAACACTCCATTGCTTCGATATTTTGTTGCTCCTCAACTGGTCTCACGAACTTCTTTTTTTCAAGAATCTTCCTTGTGCGAGGAGTACTTGCAAGGTTTTGAAGAATTTCAGCCTTTTTTGCGGGGGTTTGAGGTAAGGCAGGGGACACCTTGTCCTTTGCACGTTTTTTTGCCATCCTTGAACTAAAAGCCGGTGTGGTGATGTTGACTTCCGGTTCCGGTTGCGCAAATGATGACTCTTTTCTATTCTGACGAAGTTTTCGAACCCTTTCTCGAGTTTGCTGTCGCTTTTTCTCTTCCCTCTCTTTTTCTCTTTGCTTCAAAACCTTCTTCTTGATAGCTGATGCAGCATTCCGCTCACGGTTGGCTCTTTTGTCATCAGCCTTTTGTGCAGATGTGCGTGTTTTCACTGCGGCGACTGTCGCGTTTTTTTTCTTGCTTCGAAGCAAGCGCATTCTTTCTCTTGCTTTTTGTGCAAGAACTTCCTTGTTTCTTTCATAGTATTCCCTTTGTTGTTTAAGCTTTTTTTCTTCTTTTTCTTTTCTCCATTGATCAGCAGAATATTTTTTGTTTTCCATTGAATATTTCGCAAGCGAAGCGTGTAAATTCTCGACGGAAGAAGTCACGCTAGGGAAGTCACGTTCTCTAGTAATTTCCAGTCTCAAACGATCCTTTGTTCATGGGTGTATATCAATTAATTGTTGTATACCCCCTCTAGACGTAATGTACAAGGTTGTTGTAAGCGAGGAAGAAGCGAAGTTTAGATGCGAAGATTTCTAAAACTGCCACTATTTTGCGCGTGTAAACTGATACACCAATGCAAACAATACTGTTCCAAGATCGAATATGTTCGCGATTCAAAAAAGACATAAATTTAGATGTTAAATTGAGTTAGATTCGTGAACATTTGGTACCGATAGAAAGTTTAGAATTTGAGAATGACAGATCTGCTAGTTGAAGAGCAACTGCTAAAGCCAAATACAGTAGCCGAAAAGTGAAGGAAACTGCTCTATGTCCTCCTACATGTTCTGGTATGAATGTAATAGGATAATAATTATTACAAAGGTTTTTTTGTACTGGTTTTTTCTGATTCTAATAGTCAATATTTCCCCCCCAAAAAATTGTATTTCTCCACTTCTGGTTCTGACTTATTGATTTACATCCCCTAAGTCTGTTATCTACCCTCCCTTAACAGATGCTGAGCTTCAAGCAATGCAGCAAAATTCAACAGCTGTTAGAAGACAGAGAAGAACACCAATGTGTAGGACTTGTGGAAAGCCAAGGAGGGGACATACTAAGGGACAGTGTAGCAGCCAAAATGGCCCATAGAGTTATAGATTAAAATTGGAGAAAAAAATTGCACCTTGCTCACTCCATGTGTTACTTTTTAGCGGAACATTGACGAGAAACACCAAATTTGACAAAAGAAAGGGTCGTTTTGTCAGTTCAGGCAGAAACGTTCTGTGAAAACTTTTCTGGACATAATGTTCGGGAGTGTACTGCTCTTTATTATGAGCAACTTGTATTGTGAAAAAAATTAACCTGACAAACATCCGAGCTGCTTCTCTCTGATAGAGGAAGAATATTATTTAATTTCCAGAATGTCAAAGCATAAAAAATTATTTCACAACTATAACTATAACTATAACTACTCAAAAAAGGCAGAATACATTTCTGAATTTTATGAGAAGTTGATGGTTCGAAATACGTTTAATAAGTACAAATGAATTGAATCGGCACGGGTAAAGTTACTGCGAATGAAAGAGCAAATTCACTCTCAAAGGGCGAACGACATTTTTGTATACAGTATTAAAAAAAGGAAAACACACATAGCATAGGAAAATTGATTGATATGCCAGTCAGGAAGGCTCCTCTGAGAAGAGAAAACTTGAAAGCCTTCAAGATCCATGAAGTGTTCACAGAATGCCAAAACAAGCTACCTGACGGCTAAAAGTTTTCATTTTTGTTTAAAGTAATGTAAATAAGGTCTACAGTCTATAAAGCATAACAACTCGACGCCAGAGATCTAGCTCATGCAGAGACATTTTTATTGGCGTACATTGCTCACCGCACGACCCCCTAGAGTGTGGTACATGACCCGCTCAAGTGTGGTTGAGAGTGTTAGCAAGTGTGATAGAAGCGTGGATGTAGGGCATTGCAGCACATCGAACCTCTGATAGGAAAAATAAGAAGCCATAAATTACCAGTTGTCGATTGAACAACCTGCGGTGCTCATTGACAACTGACCTAGATGGGCGCGCCACTGGAATGTTCGTCGATGGTGTGCTTTGTGTATTCCCATCGCTTATCATCTTGGCTGCTCATTGAAGCAACTCAGCAACAGTGGTGTTGACATTCGAATTGTTCTGAAATTCGAGATAATTCTAAATAAGGAAATCAGCAAATTTTGTCCAAAATATTCATGCTTAATTTTAGAACATAGCTTAACGTTCCATTAAGGGTAGGGCTGAAATGAACACAATTTTTAGGGTCTTGGCCAATAGGCTATTAGTGTAGCGGTGTTGGACACAGCTATGTGGACAGGTGTAACCCCCTCCCCCCCGAGTGGGGGTAGACGGGTGCAGCAAAGGGTTTCAAACCCTGAGGTTTTCATACATAACCAGAAAGTTTCAGAACCTGTTCAAGAAAGAGGCCAGAAAACAATACCCTGTCTAGTGGCACGTCCCTTTATACACCATATAAACCCCTCCCTCCATTGTCACTCTCACATTCTAACGAGTCAAATAAAGTCAAATAAACCATTTGTTGTTTCACATGAATATTCCACGTGTCTTCTTTTTCTTAACAGTTATACAAAGAAAGTGTTCATGTCTCCTTCTCCTTCTTCTCACTGTCTCTTTCACCTTTGCTTTTTTCTTTGTTGCAAACATTTTTTCACTTGCTGGATCATCCCCACCTATAAATTGCACCACTCGTTTCAGCTATCGGGTCCTCACATGGATTCTAGGTCAACTTCCATCCCCAAATGTATCAGATCTATATCAGTCTCGTCGTTCTTCAGCAAAGTGTCCAATACAGCATTTGTTATAAACATTAAATACTCACGCACCATTGCAACTGCGTTTGACATTACGGCTATACCATAGTTGAAAGCAGCCATATTCTTCTTTGTCTTGATTTGATTTGTTTACCGGAGATAATCAGCAAGAAAAAGAGGGTTCTATTCAGTTCGCATCAGTTTATTGTAAATGAAGGGGGCTGGATTGCCTCGTTTCTGATCTCAGACTCATTCCCCTCTACTCCTTCTTTTTTTTATAATAAAAGTCCCCTGAGGCTCTCTGGGTTTCGAAACAAGTCTAGGGAAACCGTTGTCACTCTCAAATTGAAAACGAGTCAAATAAAGTCAAATAAACCAATTTTATTTTTTAACAATATGAAAAAAGCACGTGTAGGAATAGTCTTTTTTTTAACAGTAACAAATGTTTTTTGCTTGACTCAATTGAACATTCTGTAAACAAAAAAGCCCAAAATAAAATGTTCAATTTTCGTCTCAGGGGCACTTTAACAGCTTGCATGGTTAGAGACATGAAAAGAGCAATATAGTGACAAAAAGATTTTATTAATTAATTGCTTAATAGAATATTATTTGATGGCTTGCACTTGTGTACTTATGGTTAAGTGAGGTACACATGAAATGAATTTAGTAGTAATTTTGGATCTGCCTTTGTTTGGTTTGATCAAGTGTACTGGTAGTACTGATCATAAGTGATGGAACAGAACTTATATTTAGTTTTTAACATCTACTCTTTTTCTCTGTCCCTTTTGCTCCTGGTGAGATTTTTTGTATCCTTCCTGGCTCCATCTTTTGTTTCCATCTAAGAATGATGAAAAAACGAGAGATTAGTTGAATGTTGTAATGTGCTCACTGGAATAAAGGCAGAAATGAGGGCTGGTCTTGTGTAGATACTATCAACTAATGATAAAAATAACAAACTAAGGGGCTTGTTGGAAATATTTTGGGATGTACCCTGAAATAAAATTCACAACTATTATTAAGGTTTTTGGTAATTGACTGGAAGAAACAGGTGCCTCACTGTGCTTCATCATGGCAAAAACACTGCACAAGCAAGTTTGATAAAGAAGAGTTTTGAATATAAATATGAAGTTGGTGGTGTTCACATTGGTCATCCATAATCTATTTACCTTTCATCGTCTTTGAGAGTACCTCTTTGTCTGAGGGGTAGTTACCCTTAAATGACACCTGCAATAAAACATAGGCAGAGGGTGATATGCCACTCATCCCAGGAGTGACATATCACCCTTGTGTAGGTGCTCATAGACAGTATTAAAATATATACTGGCCCATTTGTGCAAACTTACATACAATTTGGACTCCTAAGGGTTGAGGAGGGGTGGGGTTCGAGGTGAGTCTGTGGGAAAATAATGGATTTGAGGGGGAACCATCACCCTGACTACTGAAATGTTGGGAGGGAGGTCAAACCAAATATCTTTGTAATTGTAGAGTTTTGTATTTAGATGAAGCGACATGTTCAAAAATCATCAAAAAGTTAATACGTGACCAGTTCCATCCCAACAACTTTCACAGTATCTCAGTAATTGTAGAGTTTACATGATTTGCACTATTTAGATAAAACTACATGTTCAAAAATAAACAAGAAGTATGTACATGACTGTTTCCATGTCAAGAATTTTCAAAGTATCTCAGTAATTGTAGAGTTTACATGATCTCATACTATTTAGATGTATCTATATGTTCAGAAACAAACCAAAAGTTAGAGTTGCTTTTGTACTTCTCATCCAGCCATACTCTTCAGGATACATAAAGCAACACACTTAATCTCTGACTTCTGGCTTGAGGTTCATGGTAGTTTCTACTCTCTTGGCGAGCAGTATACAGGGCCTTACTGGGGATTCCGTTGAGGTCTGGGTTTGAGTGACTTGGCCGAGGTTAATTTATTCACGTAGTGTAGGTGTATGAGGTGTTTTAAGGGTATGGGGTTCCAAGAATGTACAAAGGTAAACAACTTTTTTCAAAAGAGGGGATAAAGTGACCAACATATCAACAGCACTAGCAACTACACAGTGGATGTTTTTACAAGGTATTGGCTTTTCCCAATAAATCCTGAAGGCTCTGGTTGATTAATGCTGCAAACACAACTGAAAGAAAGAGATCTAACATGTAAACAATCCTTGTAAGACAGTAAAAACCTCAACATAACTGAAGTTAAGTAGAGCAAAGTGAAAGGATGAAAGTGATTCCATCAACTTTGAAGAGGAAGATAATCCCACAAATGATGTCCCTCTAAGGATAGGATAAGGATGATTTATTTAATTTCAAAAAATACAAAGAGGGTGGCCGCCCAATCCCCTGAGCCAGAGGCTCATGATAAAAATGTTTGACAATATAAAAGAAAACTGAAATTGTAATAGCACTTATTAAATTAGAAATAATGTATATCTACAAAAAAAAAAAACAATCAAAGGCAACCACTGCATTGACAGCCGATAAAATTTAACTGGGGTAAAAGTCTTCAGAAGGATGGTGCATTAAATGCATTTTTTACAGCGGATGGTAACTGGTTCCAATCACGCGAGATCATATACGCATATGAGCCATGAAGGAATCTGCTATTACATGAAGTTTGTACCGCGTTTAAACCACTACTTGTAAGATTATATGGTGTAATTCAGGGTTTAAATTAATCGGGTATATAGTCTGGACCATTTTCCCTAAAACATTGAAAAGATATTATCAAAGACTGTTCAATACGTCTATGTTCTAAAGTACTCATGTTTACCATCGAAAGGATTGATTCATAATCGGTACTTTTTCCCAAATTCGTTATAGCTCGTAGACCATAATAGTTTGCATCTTCCAGTTTTTTGTTAAGTGTTTTATCTATACCCATAAATAAAGAGTTGCAGTATTCAAAATGTGATAATACAAAACTTTTGGAAAGAAGTAATTTGGTATTTGCTGGTACTAAGTGCTTATGGCGGCAAAGTGCACCTATCTTAGAATATACTTTCTTTAACCCTTTGGGACCTGAATTAATTTTTGAGTTTACACAAGTTTCTTAGTTGTAATTTTTAAAAAAAATCATAAAAAATTTAATAATAAAGATAAGTCCCTGAAACTTGGTCATAGTCTTGATTAATAAATGTACAATACAAATTCATACTTATTCGATGATTATGTTTGGTTTGACAGCTGTCAGATGACGTGAAATATGATCTCAACTGTCACAAAACAATGCTTGACTGACTTTGGAAGAAGCACAATTCTTTCTGATTTGAGAGAAAAATTCTGAAATGTTGCTTAAAATAAAGAGTAGTTTATACTGATGATTTTGACTCCTAACTTGGTGTTCTGGTTCATAATGGTTTCTTCTATATGTCGATTTTGTCACGGCATGTGTCACGTCACGCAATCACCTAAATTAATGTTCACTGAATAATAAAAAAAACTTTGTTTCTGAAAGTGTTTTCATGTCTTTAAAGCTAAAAAGTATCTAAAACTGAACTAACTTAATGCCTGTTCTTCACATTGTTGAAATTCAAGGCTGATGGAACACTCTGAAGCAAGGTGCCACACACAGGCCGACGTCACAATCCGGACAAAAGTAGCTGGTCTTCTTCACTATTCCCCGGTCATAGCACACTTTGCATCTTCTTTCCTTTCTCTTGCCACTTTCATTTAAGGGCAAGAAGTCTGGGAAGTGCCTCTCAATGTAGCGAGCAAGCTGGGGCCCTTCATCAGAAGGCCGTCCCCTCTTTCCACGTGAGCAGAAATTGCCAACAAGCTGCTTGGCAAGGTCAATTCGAAATTTCTTCAGGTTTCTTGACGCGCAATGTGGGGATTCCTGATACAGAACAAAACTGTTGAAAATTGCCCTGTCAATTAAATCATAGAAGATCCTACTCCACCATTTCTTCCCTGCAACAGGGATCGTGTAGTAGGACTTCATCTGATCATTTCTGTCGACACCCCCCATATGGGCATTGTAAGATGACACTGTTTCGGGGCAGGGAACCTGCTCAACAGTGCCATCTTTCTTCCTCCTGTTGACTGTTGGCAGGTCATCTGATGGAGCTTTTTGGTTTGTGCCTGCTGCATGCACAGCTTTCTTGTCCATCCATGTCAACGCCAGCATGGGACCTTTCATTCTCCAAATAATGTCCCCTCTTTGCATGCGTTTTATGGCAGCTTTGTCGAACAGTTCTCTTGGAAAGCCTTTGCGACCTGACCTCAGGGTACCACAGCAAAGAATCTTGTTCTGGTACAAATCTTCAATCAACTTTGCTGAGGTAAAGAAATTGTCACAGAATATAATGTACCAATTCCCTTTTATGTGCTGACACAAATTTGAAACTACAGTGTATCCAAGTCCATGTTCAACACCTTGACGTGACTTCCCAGTATATATAGAGAATTCGCACAGGTATCCATTAGAACTGTCAGCCCTGCACCACATTTTTATGCCTCTCTTTATGGGCTTCATTGGCATGTACTGTTTCAACGATGTTTGCCCCTTGTACTTGATCATGGCCTCATCTATTGCCTGCTCTCGATGAGGATTGTAATTCATTCTAAACTTTGTGTTCAGATTCTCCATAAAACTCCTCACCTTGAACAGCTTATCAAAGTTTTCATCGCCACGTTGGGGCATTTGTGAATTGTCACACAAATGAATATTGTAATATATGTCTAAAAATCTGTCCCTGGCCATGACTTTTGAGAAAGCTGGGACTCCTAATACCCAGTCAGTTGACCAGTAATCTCTCAAACTAGGTACCCGGTGAATACTCATGGCAATAAGAAGTCCAAGAAAAGCTTTCAGTTCCTCTAAAGAAACCTCTTTCCATGAATTTGGATCCTTTTGCCTCTGTGTCATTGTCTGGCGGGCATAGCGATTTGTTTCCCTTATGATAATTCCCAGAATGTGGTTATCAATAAACAGCTGGAAAAAATCAAGAACCAAACTACCACTAACTAGCGGATTCACTTGTCCTACAGGCTGAGTAAATCCTGGAATATCCACATCACTTGCTTCTCTGCTCCACTCGTACTCATTTACACATGAATTTCTTGGCCTACCTCTAGCAGCACTTGCTTCAGCAGCAGGTGATTCTCGAATGTCAACTGCAGCCAAAGTAACTTCTTCTTCATTATCACCAATTTCCATGTCATGATCTGGAAAGAAATTGCCCTGATCGTCGTCGGATTCTTCATCTTCAAACCCTTCAATGTCTGAGTTCAAGCCATCATCGGGAATGTCGAAATTATCATCTAAATACTCCAATATTTCGTCCACAGTATACGTCCTTGAGTGTGACGCCATTTGCAGAAGCCCTTTAAATGTTCCTGCGAAATTTACTAGTCGAAAACTCGAGAAAAATTGACAAAATTCGGATGAAAATGAACAAGAAACGCTTCGAAACGAAAGATCCAAGATGGAGACTTGATTTTATAACCGTTTGAGGACTGGGAACTAAAAACAGAGTATCCGCTGGGCAGAATTGTGGCGCGTGATTTGTATGGCCGATATATCGGCCATCCGGTCACAAAGGGTTAACATGATATTTATATGTTCCTTAAAAGATAATCTGTTATCTAAACATATTCCAAGGATCTTTAGGTGGTCTTTAACATCGATGGGAGTGCCGGCAAACTCCACATCATATCGGTAGGCTGAGTTTCCAAGGATCATCGCTTGGGTCTTGTCCTCGTTGACCTGTAGATAGAGACAACCCAGGGAGATAGTCTTACCATGTCTTGGTTTAATATGTGTTGAAGAAGAATTGGGCTATGATTGTCCATATACTGAGTTGTATCATCTGCATAGAGGCGGAGGGAAGAAACTGATGGTTTCGTTCCTGCCGTTCATAAAGATGTTAAATAGTAAGGAGCTAAGGAGACTCCCTGTGGAATGCCACATCGTACCAGTGACCAGGTAGAGCACTTGTTGTTGCATATGTAACCTCTCACAGGAAAATGTTCCGAACGGTTAGCCGATTTTAAACGGATGCTGTTTACCAGCCGTGGATTGGCACGCCATTTGAACGCCTCAAGCTATCCATTCTTGAATATTCATCATCCGCTCGAACTATCCGTTTAAGAAACTTAATCATCTGTTCGAACGCCTCTAGCTATCCGTTCTTGAATATGCATAATCCATTCAAATGGTTTGAGCTATCCGTTCAAGAAAATTCATCAGCCGTTCAAACGGTTTGACCAACCCGTTCGAGAAAATTCATCAGCCGTTCACTGGGCACGTTGGCAACGATGGTAGAAACATTTTCGGTGTGTTCGCAATCCATTTCTTCTCTCGTTGGATTCTCCATTTTGTGATTGTGTGAACACAGGGGGCCCAGACAAGCGACGACTCTGGTTGTTTATTTGAAATATAAAGGAATGTATGGGAGAATATTAAAAAGTCTTATTATTGTAAACTTTTATCATGAAATGTCGGAGTTAAAGCTCAAAATAAAATGTAAACCTACCTCACTTGCTGTGTATTGTCATTTCTGTGGCTGAAAAAAGCACACTTTTTGTATAGCATGTAGCAATCACAGTTTTAATCCAAACCATAACAAACTTTATATAACTGGAAAGCTTATACTCCAAAGGTTCTGAAAACGAATGTTTTTATGCACTGCCAGCAAAAGTAACCTGGTACCAGGCTGTCAAAGGCACTACCCGCAGTGCAAAAGCCTCGGGTACCTGAGAAAAGATTTCTCTTTGCAGACTTCACAGACAAATAAACTTCTTATGTTATTTCAAAGAATAGTACCTAATTGTTGATATGAATGGAGGATTTTGCAAAATTGTAAAATCACATGCCAAAAGAGCCATCTCAAGTTAAACCATCAAAATGTGGGGGATTTTTCATTGATCATTTTTTCCCCAGCAAGCCCTTGACAAATTCCCTCATTCATATCAATTCATTTAATGAGCACTAACTCTCCTGAAAATTTCAGGTCAATAGCTTAAATCTTTCTTGAAATATCTTTTCTCAAAGGCAAAAATCGCTCGTTTTGAGAAAACAGACTTAAAGTTTACAACAAATTATATATTATGATTGTTCGGGGAAAAGAATATCAGTGGGTGGAAAACTATCCAGATTTAGTTCTCAGAGGCTTAAGGGAGCCCTTAGAATCCTCCAGGGTCATAGCTTGGTCCATCAATTTCAAGAAGGGCTTCTTCTCTTCTGGTCCGCACAAGTTGGAGTCCCTGGCGGCGCTTTTTCTCCATGGCTGTAGCTTGAGCATTTGCTTTCCTCAACCGCTTGTTGTTCTTTAGTCTAAATGAATGAGTTGTGTGACTCCCACCAGGAATGGAAAGTTTATCCATTATTTCATTCCTACATTCTGCTCCTTTGTGGAAGTGGCAGATGGCTGAAGCAGCAGCATAACGGACGACTTTAGCACCATGATGCTTATGCTTGGGGCAACGCACCCAAACCGTACCATTGATA